CCACCCCCCCCAAAATAACCCCCAACCACCCAACTTTTTTTTTATGCGCAACACCCCCCAAGACATCCCCTGCCTATGCGCAACCCCATGGTGCACGCGCGCTGATGTTTTGACGTGTGCACATGCCTTAGAACGCTTTGAGCGCGTTTGAGCGCGGCGCAGGGTTCTTTAAGCGCGCGCTGAAGCGCGCTCATACGGTTTCACAGGTTATGGCCACACCTTCACCTCCCCCAGAAGCCCCTACAAGGCCCAGCGAATCAAACGCGATACTATAACTAACTCGAACATTGGTTAACCTAATGCAAGAAAGTAAGAAGGAACAACGCGAGCACAATGCTCGGATCGAATCATTGATGAGATCGATGCGCCCCATTGCCGCCAGAGCAGCACCAATGATGCAAGGAGCGGCCCCTGCTCCAGAAGTGGGCGCGGCGGCAGCTAACGTGAGTGTTTGTTACACGTGCCATCAGGCTGGGCACATAGCCCAGGACTGCCCCCACCGACTCATGCAAACAAGAACCGCGCCAGCGGCTGCGGCACCAATTGCTAACGGACCGGGGCGGGTGACCACAATGGTAGAGGAAACCGACAGTGGTGCAAGCCCGTCCGGGGTCACGGAGGAAGCGGCGGAGCTCATCCCGCTCGATCAATACATATCGTTGGGATACCTGGGCCTCGGCATGATAGGGGTCATCCAACCTGCCCCCGACCACAACGAAGTCTCAGAATGGAGGCCCTCCCCGAGGGAAATGGAATCCGGAGGACCCGCGTTCATTACGGGAGAGATCAATGTGCTGGAAATAGTTTGTGCCTTGGATCACCGCATCCCCCTACCCATCGGACACCTGCTAACCATCTCCGAACAGGCCAATGACCGGATGCTACAACACGGCAAGGCAAACCGGAAGCGGTTTACCCTCGCCAAACTGGCAGCCGCAAAAGGAAAGACTCTTACTAGAGACCCGAAGCCGGAGGAGCCAAGCACCTCCGAACCCGTCCGGGTGGGCCTAATTCGAAAAGATGATCACTTCCTACAGATCAGAGCCCTACCGTGGAGATCCGCGGAGTGCAACATGGAAGTCTGGGGAAACCCCTACAGTGCGGTCCTTGATTCCGGAGTCGCGGTCCTGGCCATCTCCCTACGGGTGGCCGAGCGCCGACCGACAAAAAGACGTGATTCCTCTCGCGGAGGGCGACCACTTCGTTTCCGCCGATGAAGGTAAGATCCGAGTCGCAGGGAGGATGGTGAACATCGCCTTCCGAATAGGTAAGGTCCACGCCTTAGGAGACGTAGTGGTCCTGAACATGACCACATACGATGTCCTCGTCGGATTACCAACCCTCACAACCTTACAGGCCATGTTGGATTTCGAACAACAAGCATTCATCCTCAACAACACCGGAGGAAAACAGTACACCGTTCCGATGCGCCTCACCCTTCGGACAACTTCGATGCCTAAGCGGCAACGACAAGAACCCGACGAAACCCTGCGAATGATAAGGTCTGAAGAATCTACGGACGAATCTGACGTCGAACCCACACTATCGACGTCCACTTCCGAGAGCGAGGAAGATGCAGATCCTCAAATTCTTAAGCTAACACGACAAATGGTTGGCTACCCACCTCGACGGAAAGCGACGAAAACTTTCGTTTTCACAAGGGACGAGCAATGAACCAGAGCACTGATCATGGGAGAACCTCTGGTTCAGGTATCCTGGTTGACGGATTCCTGGGAACCCCCTCGAACCATATACGAGGCGACCACCCCATTATTATCCAGATATCAGGATAAGCGGTCTTTCTGCGATATCTCGAAGATTCCTCCCGGCTCGTTACTCACCAAAGGAAAAGAAATTTGACTGCTACAAAGAGGCGCCGAGAGCTTGACTCCGGAACCCTCTGGGCCATACGACCTTACCCCGTTCGATATTGGACTAAAAATCGAGGAGAAGGTCGTGGACCTCCGGGATATCGAAGATGGTATCACCCCCGAGGAACACGTGGTAATTAGGGAAGCGGAAACTCAGATGGTTGCCACGATCTTCTCCTGGCGCTCCGTTCATTCCTTTTTATCATCCCCACCCACGAAAAATACCCCCGCGGCCCGGACAAAACAACTACCAGTGGCGATACGAGACTGCCGCTACGAACTGCATGTGCCGGACTATATGCCGGATGAGATACACAAACTCATCGCAGACATTCTAACTGAATATCAAGGGGCGATTAGTACAGAGGGCACAGACATAGGACTATCCCTGGTCATATAACACGAGATCCAAACTGGCACCCACCCGCCCATTCCCCGTAAACCATACCGGTACTCATTAATCGAAAGACGAACCGCTCTGGAGCGGACCAGAGAATTCGAGGCCAACGGTTGGATCGAGCCCGCTACCGGACCATGGTCCTTCCCCGTGGTTTTAGTCCCTAAAAAGATCGGATCCATTCGCATTTGCATCGATTATCGGAAACGAAATGATATCACGATCAAAGATGTGTATCCCCTCCCGCGGATTGATGATTTGTTGGATGCAATTGGGTGTGCTAACTACTTCAGCAAGTTCGACATCCGCCATGGATTCCACCACATATTGGTGAAGGAAGAGGATCGTCCGAAAACGACATTCGTGTTGTTCGAAGGCACGTGGCAATGGGTTCGATGTCCTATGGCCATTTGCAATGCTCCGACTACGTTTCAAAGAGCGATGAACATGACCTTCCAAAATTTCGTTAACAAGACTCGGCTGACGCAGGAATGGTGGACTTTTGCGTTATCGTGTGCATTGACGACATCCTGATGTATTCGGAATCGTTTCACCATGACAGACATGCGCAACATATCGAATGGACACTTGGAAGTTGGAGCGCTGCTAGATGCGGGCTTCAAAATTGCCCTGGAGAAGAGCGAGTTTTTCCTCTCGGAAATCTCGTTCCTAGGGTATGTGGTGATGCGAGGGGGCTTGCGACCGAATAAAAAAAAAGTCGCGGCAGTTCGAGACGCTCCGACACCCACGTCGCTGACGCAAGTTCGGGCTTTCTTGGGGCTGGCCTCGTACTATCGTCGATTTATTAAGGGATTCGCGGCAATCGCACGACCCCTGACGAACCTCCTGCGAAAGGACCAGCTGTTGGGGTGGGACACTGAGTGCGAGCAGGCCTTTGCCACATTGAAGGAAGCCTTTACCACAACCCCTGTTTTGATCCGGCCTGACCCCAAGAAGCAATTTGTACTCATCACAGACTGGCAGTCGGAGGCAATCTCCGCTATTTTGGTGTAAAAAGGGAAAGACGGCCATGGGCACGTCATCGAGTACACGTCCAGGACACTACCAGACGAAAGGAGAAACGATTCAGCACCCCAAGGAGAATGTTGCGCGGTGGTGTGGGGGATTCAACACTTCCATCTATATCTGTACGGGCAGAAGTTCCTCCTCGTTACAGATCACGAACCCCTGTTGGCTCTCAAGAGACTCACTAATTACACGGGCATGATTGAACGTTGGGCAGTGCGGCTGCAGGAGTACGATTTCGACATAGTCCATCGGAAGACGGAAAGACACGGGAACGCGGACGGGCTGACACGACTACACTGACCGGCCAAGGTTACCAATGGCGAGGAAATTATCCCGTGGAAAGCACCGGAACCGGTCAACAGGCCACAATACGGACAAGTGGCAATCCTCCCGCGTATTAAGAAGTGCCACATGACAATGGGCGATGAAGGTAATTCTGGAGGCCCCCTTTCTCCCCTCTCGTCCTCGTTTTTCCTCTCTTTGTCTGACAAGTTTTGTTACTTCTGCGAGGCAATTTCTCGTGTCTACTCGGTCCCTATGCGTCCTAGAGGGGAAGGGTACGTCGAATGGGTAGATTGCCGACACTTTGTCTCCAGGGCCCATGGTTCGTGCATTCAGCACTGAAACACGGACGAGGCTTGGTTGTGTCCTCTGTGTCGATCCAACAAAATTCCTATTGAAGCTCGCTTTCTGGAAGCCACATCGGAGGGTTTAGCAAAGACCCGTAGGTTTAGAAGAGTCGAGGTATGGACAAATGTCGTTTTGATAGCCACAGTGGTCAGGAACCCCCTCCGGAACTTCACCAAGGAGGACCGTAGAAGGGCTAATGAGAGGGCACGGGACTATCGATGGAACGACGGACGGTTGGAAAAACAAAAGACCGACGGTAGTGGGATTTTGATGGTCGTGCCCCATCTGTTCATGAGGTATGACTGGGTTAAGTCGGCGCATGAAGAGACTGCAGCTCACTTTGCCGTACGGATCACAAAGGCGGCACTTGACAAGAATGAATGGTATTGGTCCTATATTCGCGACAATGTTAAATTCATCGTCCAAAATTGTAAGGTTTGCGCCGCGGACAAAGCGCCGATTCAGCCGCCTAGGTCGACAATACCCACCATAATCGAATGACCCTTTCAAAGGGTAAGCATGGATACAACAGACATTGTCGTGCCCCCTGGACCAAATAGCTGCGAGTATTCAGTCCTGCTGGTATTCGTCGACCATTTTTTGAAATGTATCGAGGTGTACCCCTGCAGAACACGACAAACGACGAAAATCAGGCGATATGTGAACCGTTTTCTTGGGAAATTTCGATGCACCAAGACACGGAAAAGATTCTAACAGACAATGAGGCAGAGTTTTGAGGCGAGGTCTTGAGGAACCTAGTGTTACACGGTGTCTCTATCCGTCATACAACCCCACATATTTCTCAATCGAACGGCCTCGTAGAGAATGCGAACCGAGTGATTAAAACGGCACTGCGACGATATATTACGAGAACACCCCATGAGTCTACCAGCCTGACCCCTTTTCAACTACGGACCAACAACTTGCCATGTGTAGCCCTACCAAGCCTAAAGGATGAAACGGCCCTTCCACAACGAACCACTAGGGCGACGGTCAAGGACAAGCTTAGGCCCAACGCCACCTAGAGCTGATGGAAAGGCCCTCCCCCGACTGGCCCGAAAAAGACAGCGTATGATAGAAATGGCCCACGGTAGACAGGTTCGGAGCTACGAGGCCCGAAATGGGAATGCTGGGCCTCGGCCCCAGTATAAATCAGGGAACACCGTGCAGGTGAAGAAATGTGCTCGCTGGGGTAAGTTAGCGCCACGATTCTTCGGGTGATTTCGCGTTGTCGAACTCAGTCCTAACGGCATGAACTCGGTGCGGCTGGCGGGAAGTCGATCGGCTCGTCCAATCATTCGACACGTATCTTACCTTCTGGAATTCGTCCTCTCCCCTCTTCCCCTTCTCCTCCACCATCTGCATCGTCCCTCGGTCAGGGGGAGGACGACAACTCCCTAGAATCCTCTTTCCTCTCCCCATCATCGTCTCCGACTCCGCCCCCATCGCCATGAGCTTTTCGACGGAGCAGGTGATCAACGAGCGACTGATGGTGCCTGAGGAAGCCTTTTCGGCGATCCGACAAGTGCAGCATCCTTGGTTGAGTCTGGATCTTCTCCGATTCGCGACCTTCTTCAGTACGGCGGCCATCAATGCGCCAGCGGAATTCCAATTCGGGCAGTCTGGGGTGGCACAAGTGTTGGCTGAGGCGTCGGCCTTTCTGCGATTGTCCCCACCCGGCGAGAGCCACGTGTTGGTCATTGCCGTCTTTATAGGCGACATTACGACACTGCACCCAACACGACATACCGTCGTCTTTCGACAACTACGGGACTGGGCAGCACGCCTTACGACTGAGTGGGTGCGACTGTTGGCTCGACCACGAGATCGTGTCGTAACAACGAACGACATCGATCTTCAGCTTCGAGTCTCCTCCACCGCGCCAGAGGTCGCCCTTCCAGTGCTTCGTCCCGTCGCTCGGCGTCAATAAACCGTCACCGTCTCTCTACCTTCAGTCTCCCCTCTGATGTTCCTACGTTTTGGCAGTCTGTCGTGGAAGCGTCTCTGTCTTTCACGATCAGGCAATTGGACGTGCTGATTCTGGACGCGGTCAAGTGGACGCAGTGGTGGCAAACATACGTGGCACTCAGTTTTTGCCTCCTCGACGCCGTCTTCCACTGGGCGGAGCCCTCTGGCACCTGCGAGGAGAACGAGATCCCCGATGATGAGATAGAGTTGTTGCTCGTCCAGACTTGGAGAACAAACACGGAGGGGGATTTTCTAGGGATCCTGTTTGGGGAAGTGCGCGACGGACACCTGACGTCCATCACGGCCGAACTGCTGGTGTTTTTGAGCCAAGTACTCGACGATCTGCCATTAGAGATTCTCTCGCGCTGTGACCAGAAGCCCAGGACAGCCACACTCGTTCGCACGTTGGAGCCACATCTTCTGTGGTCCGCATGTACGGAGTTGGAGGAGGGAAGCTACTACGTGCCCTCGGCGGGTGCGTATCTAAACATTGACGTCACCGATCTTTCCACGTGGGACCCGCTCATCCGGCGCGCTCCCGCAGGAGAGACGAGTGAAGAAGAAGAGGAGGACGACGAAGAAGAAGCATCGGGAGAGGAAGAAGATCGGGAATATGATCCTGATTATCAAGGAACGGAGGACGAAGAGCTGGGAGAGGCCGATTCGGAGGAGGAGGCAAACGAAGAAGAAAACGCGCCGAGGGATTCTGTGAACCGGTCGAGCTAACCAGGGAAGAACAGGAAGCCGCGACCCAGCGACGGCGAGAGGCCGCGGAAGGCAAGCGACAGATCGTGGGATTAGGGTCGCCGCCGCAACTGCTGCAGGGCAATCCGACACTCAACCCAGAATCGCCGCGGGAGGAAGACGAACGAGATGGAACCGCCGCCACAGAGGGATCAAGAAGTCGGCGCCGTCGAAGAAGTCAATCGCCCTCCCAATCCTCCCCAGTTCGATTCACAGCCCTTCGTCGGTGCTCGGGCTTCGTCCCTGGTCGTTATCCCGTCGTCCCCGTGACTTCCTCACCGTCCAGCAGCTCCTAGGCCGACCCCCGTTCCCTGATACGTGGCAGCCATTTCCCGTCTCCCTCTTCTATCACTGCTACGCCACCCGCCTTCTGGTCACCATCTTCCCGCATGCTACTACTCGCTCACTCGTCTCTTTCTTCCCCCTCCACGTCCTCCTCTTTAGCATGGATTGGCGGGAGTATAATAATATAGAGGTCTACTTCGTCATCGCGGGCACGATCCCCGCATGCGAGGAATATGACGACTTCCGCGTTGCCATCCGCCGCACTCTCTGTACTCTTTACCCTGACTACCTCACCTCTCTCCCCCATCAACGCCGGCACCCTCGCTTCCCCCCCATCAATCGCTCCGTCCACTACATCCCACTCCCTTCTTGCGATAGGGAAATTTACAGCTTCATGCCTCCTCTTCCCCCAATCTATCCACCCCCCCCCCCATCCGTAATTAGATTACCGTGACCTTTCCCGGGTCAGGTTTTAGATTGAGCACACGTATACCACGTTGGATGACTTCCACACTCAGATCCTACGGTATGTGGCACGTGTAAAGCTCCGCGTCGATCATCGGACCACCGATCAGCGCCTGTGAAAGAGCAAGAGGGAGCTTGCTCAGGATTGGAACCCCCTGGGCGTCACATATGTGACGAACCATTTCCTGTAATCGCGCGATTTTTTGTGTGAAGCTGCCTTGAGGGAACAGGTTGGGCTAATCACGTGAAGTGCGTAGGGATAGGTCGGCTAGACAAGTTGCATGGATGCCCTCGCTTCTTTTTGTTTCCGTTTAAAAATTGTCGGGCCGGTGTCAGGAAGATCCCGAGCCAACGGTTGAGTAAGCGCGCCTTAACGAGCGCAAAGGAATAACGGGTGTCATATCTTCTTTCTTGTTCTCCTATGAGCGCTGGGAAATTTTTGGCGCAATTATCGCGCGGGAATATCGTTTTTTGAATTTTAACTGATGCGAAGCCCCCACGGGCTCTCGGAATCGTTCTTTTGTCTTTTCGGAATTTTCTTTTTGAAAATAGGACTTAGGCTAGGAGTTTAGGTACTCTGAATTTTTGTTGCGCCTCGCTCTTTGCTTGCACGTGATTAGCCGCACTAGGAACCAGGCTCTGACTGGACCGCGCCCTTAATCCTGCGTATAATTGTAATTTTGGCGGGCGCAATTGTAACTGTATCTCTCTTCTCGCTCTCGTCCTCTTCCCGCCTCCTTTTCCCAGGCTATGTGCATGTGTCTCCCTACGACCTGATTGGCCAAGGCGTTGCATGCTCAGATCGATGTGTGGAGAGTAGCCATGTCCCCCACGCCGCGGCCTGGCCATGCAAAACGTAGACACTTCCTCCTTCCGCCCCCCCCTCTCACTTAGGCCTAATCCCGTATCTCTCGCGCAAGCATGCATGCTATAAATTCTGCAAGCGCGACTAGATCACTCTTTATGAACTTTGGAGTTGGGCGATCCGACGAGCTGGTGTCAGGTATGCGGGGTTGACGTGCGGGGCCGCGACGGACTGTGGCGCACGGGCGAACGTGGCTTGCATGCTCGGACCAAGCGGGGTGACAACTCTGTGTTGATGCGAGGCGACGGACTGCCCGCATCGGGGGATGTAGAGATAAAGAGAAAGAGAGAGAGCAGTTGTGAGTGGGATGAGGTTCTTTCCTTTTACTTATCTGTATAATTTTGGTTTCTGCTACGACCGATGTTCTTGCGGCCTTTTTGGATTTTTCCTTGTAAATCGTCTCGGTTTTTCTTCGTCACTTTTGTCGCACATGTATGCATGTAATGAATGTGAACTTTTTTTCATTGATGATCCTTTCGGATTTCCGATCTTGTTTTGCGATGTCTGTTTAATTCTATTATCCATCTGCATCACTCGCTATGGATGTTTTGGTTTAATCGTTAGTCTTTGATCGTCATCGGAGTGCTATGATGCGCTGATCGTCCTTTCCCTTCATCACCCGAATAGCATGAATCCTAGATCTCACCCAACCTAGTATGGATAGGATAGTTGCATGCATGTAGGGCATCCCCGCTACCTCGACACAAAAAGCCCGAGTCTGACTCGCTTCCACTCATGTGCACGCTCACGCATGACCACGACTTCGAGAAAACCGAGTCGCAGCGTACGCGCGCGTCTACATGAGTCGACCTCGAAAACTACCATAAGGATGCGAGAAACCGAATTCACCAGCCGGATATGGCTATGAACAGTCCCTTTGGGAGCACTAATCATGAAAGCCTGAGGGACCTGGAGTTTCGCGAGTACTGGGAAGGCGAACCACTCCGACGGCGGGGAAACTTGAGAAACCCGGGATTCCCCTGTCTATCAGAGAACGACCGACTGTGCGTGGGGGATTTCCACTGGGTTATGACCCGTGATCCTAGGGGACCAGACTATCCAGATACGGACAATACTCAGTACTACATATCCCCGGGCTTCGTCGTTATTACTACCAGTTTTCCTCCCTTCCATCTCCTCCTTCCATATCGACAACTCATAGTGGTACCATGGAATTGTATAGCTTGCTATTGGCCACGCTCACCGTGTGAGGATTGCCAGCGGTACCGGGCATACCGGGCTTCGGGACTCACCCGACGAGCCCGAACCGAAGCAGAGCAGCGAATACACAGCCTCTGCTTACGACCCGCCTCGTCGGAATCTGAAGCTTGTTACGAGCGGCGCCGACAACTGTCCGCCCAGCGCGACGGCCACTGTGTCCCACCGAACCACCAGAAAAGGGACCGACCGCGGCGACGCAACTGGCAGAGGCCATAGCCCCCTCCCCGAAGGCAGAAACGCCAGATACGATCCGCGCGTACCATTTTGCACTGTTGTCCCTAGAGCTGCCCACAGGAGATCTCACTTTCCTCCCCACTTTCCTAAAATCCTTGGCACACCCCCTTTTTTGCACTTCCAGGCCCCCATCCCACTCCGATTAGGAAGTCACACTGGGCGTGAGGTTGGGCGTCACAGCCCCACCCTTTCTTTAAACCACCAGTACTTGGTCCAGCTATCGGCCACGGGCGATTCCCGTTAACGAGCCGGTAGTTGCGGGCTTCGGGGCACCGAACCACAATGGCTGGAAGCGCCAGCCAAAATCAAAACGAAACAGTGCCCCCACGGCTCGGCAAAACTTGGCGCGCAGGGGGTATCCCGGCTCGGCATCAATAGCTGGGCCAAGTACTGGTGGTTCGAAAAAAAAAAAAAAAA